AGACGGTGTGTTACCATTCAGTTGCGAAATGATAAATCGAACGAGAAGAACGCAACGGTTCCAATAGCCTTGATATCTTAGGCGCCTTCTGCACACGACCTGAAGATAATCTTTAAGACGATGCACAAGTACATGCTCGTGTATTCATTTTTAGCGTTATTAATGTCAAAATGATCTAGTGAAATTAATAATTGTTTTTCATCTCGGTTCGTTCGCCACGGATGCTGCCGAGCGCACGCGTGTTTCATGTACAAGACACAACAGAAAGAAATGCTAAACATGAAATCATCTTTCCATTCTTTTTCGCCTTGGTGTTGTGGTGGCGGTGTGATGTTAAGTGTATTTCCTATGATGCGCGTGATTTATGATCATTTGATGTTTGTCTCGCTGCTTTTTATAATATACTTATACATGTGCTGCTTACCACCGCCTTTAGCCACAATCACTTCGCTGTTTTCCTCACAATGTTTCTTACGGCGACAAATAGTGAATGCATAAGAATAGACGTTAACACAAAGCCTAACGTCGGCAAGCAATTACAATATTAAAAGTCAACGGAATTTTCGTTCGAGGCGTAAATGTTAGATCTCAAGATATGGATGTGGAGCTATGAAGATGTGCAAAATAATATTTGCATGTATAAGATGAGCCGCCGTTTTAGCACGACAAAACTGTATGTAACATTCATAAATACATGAGATTCAAAACCATGCAAGCAAGACAAAATGAAAGAAGTGCCGTTTTATCACCAATAATTCTTACTTGCTAACTGCTCACCAGTCTGTGTATCGCATTGCATGGTGCGCGTAAAAATGATCCATTTTGACATTTAAGAAATATTTTTACGCATTTATGTTTACATTCGTTAGGCATTTTTTGTGTGTGTGCGCTGCGCGTAGCACAGATTGGTGACAGTTGGCGAGGTTAGCACAGCTGAAAGCGACACATCGCCTTTGCAATTATTGCTAAAAGCGTGTTTGTTTTCGCTTTTTGACGGGATAGTTGAAAACATTCGTTGTAACAGTCGCGCGCGCAACATACAAATAAACTGCTCCAAAAATATGACACGAGTTTTCTGTTATTTTTGGATGCTTCGTTCATGTTTCACAATCACACACACCGAGTGCAATGTTCAGCATGTACGTTTTGTGTGCCCTTCGTTTCTCACCATTTCTACTTGGTTTCATTGTGTGTTTTTTTTTATTTTCTTGTTGCCCACAAATAATCGTTTTGCAAGTGGCATCCGTGTATGAACTTCTACAGCATGTTTCACTTGAGTCCGACTTAGCTCCAACTACACACTCCGCACAAGAATGTTTCCCTCATTTTTTCGCGTGCTTTGCGATTATATTTATGATAACTGAAATGGCGCGACACATTTTGCCACAGCTTGAGAACAAACCGCAGATGACAAGAGAGAAAAAAAGCAACAACAGCAACACAGCGTAAAAAAACACACGATGGAGCAAAGAAAGATGTTCCAGATAAACTATTCGCCGACTCATGTTTTTGGCGTTTGGTTTGCTTTTTGAAATGATATCTTGAGCCGAGAGCCGGAACATGCATGCATGCGCTACTGCTGTGCACCATTCATAGGGTGTCAATGTGTTTCATTATTCATAGTGTTTTAATAAAATGTAACTTTGTTCTTGAGCCGAGCGAGCGAACGATAGAGAGAGAGAGAGAGAGAGAGAGAGAGAGAGAGAGAGAGAGAGAGACGAAGAGAGATAAAATAAATCTAATGGTCCGCACAATATGGAGACAATGCACATCATGCAGCCAGCGAGATAGTGGAGCTCACCGCTTGAATCTCACTTCGTGTAAACTCGCAAACAATTATTCATTCGCCGTCGCCCGTTGGAACAATACCAACAAAAACCAATTTAATCGCAAGTATAAGAATTGTAAACAGAAAAGTTAGACAATGCATTATGAATATATTAGCGAAAATATTCAGAAAAATTGTACAAATGCCTGGGCTCAACTTCACCATAATGGCGCTGAGCGGAAATGAAACGAATGTACCATAAGCAGCGATAAAAAAATTACACACATACACAGATTGAAGAGAAAGAGAACCATTTGAGCTCGGTGTAAAATGACATTTTTGCTTTAACATGAACTCCTCGCGCATAGAATCTCAACATCATCTCATGTGTGTATGTGTCATATGCGAAAAATCATACACCCGTAATGCAATTATGTGGTTCTATTATTATTATGTTCGGCGACAACGACAACAGTAAAAAAAAATGAAGAGAAACAGCAAGCGCACAGTTGCATATGTTTCGTGGAAAAATCCAATTTCATTTGCCATAACGCAATGTATTCCTCGTAAGTCGTTGAGGCTGAATGTTATGTTTGTATTTTTTTTTATTCCTCTGCCGTTTCGAAAACAAATGTAAACCTCTTAAAAATTGCGATATGCTTCAGCCATGCACTTTGGTCCGCCATGTGTGTATGTCAAGAGTACAAACGTTCGTTTGTTTAAGAAAGAAAAATGATTCAAAATTCAATGAAACGAAAGAAAAAAAAATACACAAACAAACAAACACAAAGCAAACAACCATCGCGATTTGAATGTGTGGATGGAATTCATTAGAGTCAGCAGCAACAAATGAAGTAAAAATCAAGATTTATGTACTTTTATAATTAAATTCAGTCGAGTCGCGCGACTATTTTTCGTTACTTTTCAAATGCAATGCAGCTATTTCCCTCGATTCACTTGATCATTGTTTGGTGCGGTGCGGTGTTGTTGCCTTGCCATTTGCATTTTGATTGTTTCGTCGGTTTTTACACCATTCGCCGTTCCGTATCGCGATTCTCTTCTCTTTCTTTTTGTTCCCGCTCAATCAGCACTTTTAGCGCTAAAAAACGAATCTAACGGTAACTTCTCTCCCATTCGCATTTGAATTATTATCGGTTGGTTTGTGGCGATAAATTGTCAGGTAGCGAGTGCATTTTCTTCCAAAATGATCGTTTAATGGTTGTATCACGATTGCAGATTGCATGTCAAATATTTACTCTTTGCTAACGGTAAATTAATATTAATCATTGAATGACCTCGTTTAGGTGTTTGTGAATATGTTTTTGAATGACATAGAACGTTGAAGCGTTTCAATGCTGCACACGACCAGCACGTACACAGATTACACACGAAATATATCATTTCAGACCAGGTTTGCATTCGTAATTAGCAGAAGAAGAAGAAGAATAAGAAGATAAAAAGAAAGCATTTTCGCCTGCGGCAACGGGGCAACGCAAGCGAAGAACAAATCCAGTGCTATCGACCAAGACAAAGATAGAACAAATGACTTTCGGACGAGGCGGCTGTGAAAAATGAATGTTTATTTTTGTTTGTTTGAAAGATCACACAATTTCAATACAATGCACGCGGCATTTGGTGTGCATTCAACGGAATGCAAACGTTCTTCTTGGGTTGATATTAATTAGTCGTCGGTCAAGCGGAATAATGTAACCGTTTTCTATTCGAGTGTAATTGTCATTTGGGCATGTTCAGATCGCACATAGATTTTTACCTTGCCTCTCAACTAACTACTCCCAGCGAACGGTGTGCATTTATCTGTGGCCGTTTTCTAATTTATTATCTTTTTTTTCCCAGTCTCTTTCACGTACAATACGTTTTGTTTTCGTGTTTGTTTTTGTTTGTTTTTTCCTTCCATTGCATTGGGTTCTAGCGTAAGTTTTTGCATTTGACTCTCTTTCAAATTATCGCTTCGCATCACAAGATTTCAGTTTCTGCACATTTAAAACCATTCACCTTCTGGATTACTAAAGTTCACGTTCACCTCGTTCGTTCATTCGTTTAGAACATCCTCGCTTTTATTGGAGTCATGATTATGTAAATCATTGTTTTGGTACAATTATCGATGTACATTTGTAAGCAATGTTTTATATGTTATTCATTCCCTTCCTCTGCAAACGCTATTGTTGCACATTGAAATGCGGTGTCCGCAGTGAAGAGTGAAATTCGGAGGAGGCAAGGCACACTCATAGACTTGTACACTTCGATTGTTATTCCAGCTATTGCGCATGCAGTTGAGAAATAGTTTAAAATCTGGTTCCTTTTCATATGGTAAATATGGTTAATTTGTTCGTATATTTACAACGAGCTCCGAATGTTGCTGAATGTTTTTAACAATCTTCGTCACTGTCAATAGTTACGCGTCTTTTTTGGGCTCGGTCCATTCTCTTTTCTCTTTCGGTCGGAGCGAGAGAGCGAGAGACGGTTCTCGTACGTAAAAGCATGCATGTTTAATGATTCATATTATTCCTTCGGAACAAATAACACAACATGTCTGATGAATTTCAAAGTAATCACACCGAAGGTGGAACAGACCAATGCAATGAATAGACGAAACAGTCTTTGATATTTGAAAATTTGAGAGAACAATAGATTGGAAACATGGAAACAACTTGAAAATGACAAGAAAAAAACATGTAAATCATTTTGTTGTGTTTGATTTTGTGTGTGTGTTTTTTTTCTTTCTTCTTGTTCGTGTTTATGTTTACTTTGTTGAAATCAGAGTTTGTAATGCAGGAGACGAGACCAGGGCATTGTTATGAAAATTACGAGGGAGATTCGATTTTAGTAAGTCTATGAAAATTAAATAATGCATACTAACAAAATTATTTCAATTGTAAATTTATCATAATAGGTTTTCTTCTCTCGAGAGCATCTTGAAGAAAAGCCTTGCCCATTCGGATAAGTTCTGCTCTTTTCATAATTTTATCAGTCGTATATTGTTAAGTTGGATGCTTTTTTTTCAATTTGTCTGAAAAATTTATGATTGGAAAATCATGATTAATGACTGAAGCGTTCAACGACTAAGTCGCAATCCCGATTGACTTTAACCGGTCACAAATTACGATTTCGTTTACATTAAAAATCAATCAATGGTTATCAATATCGATGGGTTTCCAATAGAAAAATTTCGTAAAAGATTTATATTCATTTTTTAGAAAGCTATCAAACTTACGTTAACCAGAAGCTTGTAGTTATTGGTCAAAGGTGATGAATATTGCAACAGTAGTTAAATCCAATGTTGAGTGATTCCAAAATGCCGGAAATCCATAAAGATCAAACTGAAAGTAAACAAAAATAACGTATGTTAAAATGTATCTTCATTTTATTTGGGGTCACATTTAATCTAATGGCAATGTTGATCAATTTAAGTGCTCGGAAAAAAGTGTGTCGCTGTCAAAAAGCGAAAATTTAAATCACTGAACTTTTCTGTTGTATTGTGAATAAATATTTAAATCAGTTAACGAGCCCATCGCGGCTCAATTACTCAAATTGCCAGACAAATTAAATGAATCAAATGGATGTCGAACTGAATCACATTAATAGATGTATATTCCGGAGTAGAACAAGGCGGTTCAATTCCCAATTGGATGGAGCGATGTTTTTTTTTCACAAATAATGCATAGGTATGAAGACTGAAGAGTCACGTGTCAAATCGATGCAGCGGCGAAAGCACAAATGGAATTGGTGTATGAGATATGACAAATGTACTGAATTTGATTAAAGCGCTCGGCTTGTGGTCGCCTTTCACGCTTTCTTCACTGGCATTCATATTTATTTCTTTATTTATTTTTGTTGTAGCCGATTTCTTCTCATATGATGAACAATTGCATGCGCATTGCCCGACCGTATGTTCAATGTATGTGCATTTATTTGAATAAATGTTTTCAATGGACTTTTTTTCGTCGGCGTCGTCTGCCCACCTCCATTGAAACCGAGCCGAAACGAACGACCGACAAAAGAATCAAATAAGAAAAGTAAATCAGTTTTGAAACCACATATTGTGTGCTACCAACATGGAACATTTTCTCTAAAACGACAGCCACGATTCATTGTCGCATCGGAACAGCAGAAAAAAAAACTTTTCAATATCAGTTTCTTCAGAGGTTGTCGATTTTTTTCCCTTTCTCTCTTTGTCAATAACACGTGTTCGATGCAATCGCCAGCGTTTGGCATTTGACTTCTTGGTCACTTGGTATGCAAAGCGAGTAATGGAAATGGCGACGATCTCGTTGCGCTGATGATATAAACCACTGTCTTCACGTTGATATTCAAAGTTTATTGATGTGTCGTGCCCAAAATGTGTGTGTAGGTGTGTGTGTGTGTCTGGCTTCCGATGCATATTGGTAAAGAGAAAAAAATCCAATAAGCAACATGTTCTATGCAAATACCCTAAGGAGAACTTTTGATACAGCACACACACTTTCTCTCTCTCTCTCTCTCTCTCTCTCTCTCTCTCTAGGTTTTGGTCTGTGTATCTGTTGCCGACTAACCGAGAAGAGACGGAATTTTGCTATGCAAAAGATGAAAAACTTGAATCATTACACATGCAAAAAGTGTGTTTGCGTCAATTGTTTTTCATCATTTGCGATTGGGGGGCCACATACCAAAAACCAGGCCATATGCTACATCACTCGATGTGTAATTTATGACTGACTCCGTGCGGAATGCAACAAACAAAAGAAAAGTATTTTCGAAGCGCACAACATTAGCAAACGTATGGCGAACGCATATGCCATATTCTGTGTAGCTGGTAAAGTTTTCAGTTTCAAGTGGCACAAGTAACATTCGATCCGATTACATTCCATGCGGCAGAGCGTTTGACTTTTTCCACAAATTAAATGTGCAATTGAAATTTGCTTTCAATCGAAAAATGTCCGCACATGTTTTGCACAAATATCAAACTTTTTTTCTCGTTGGGAAACAAAACATTTCCTTTTCGGGAAGTTTAGTAAAAATGAACGTCGTTTTTGGGGAACCTCTTTCACAGCACACACACAAACACATACACTCTCACTTTCCATAAAGTCGAAATGGCCTTTTGATTATTCGATGCTTCACCTCAATACATAGGTCGATCCAAACTAATTACATACATTTTGAGTGAAACCGCAGTCTGTGCAAGTTCCGACCGACATAAAATCAGTCAGCAACGAACGCAAATAAATCAAAATCGATAAATAATTGTGAAATACTCGATTGAAATCCATATGTGCTGCAGTACGTGAGCCGTTCAATTTTCATTTCGCATAAAATATAATCCTCTTCCTGATTCTACCGCTCTCGCTCTCGTTCTCTGGTTGAAAGAGGCTTTGCCTCTTCATCCATACCTCCAAGCTATAAGCAACTATTCAATGCAATGTGATTCGCATTTCGAACCATTTGTATATCGAGTGTGCGAGCAATTTTCGTTCGAACCAACAGCCGTAATCAATTTACGGGTTTCGAAAAGAAGCAGAATAACCCGCTCACATAGTAAGATGGAATCATTCGATCGGGCAATTATTATTTATCAACAGAAATAATCACAATAATCATGAAATTTCATTTAGTATTTACAACAAAAGTGTAGTACATATATGTAACAATAAAATTAATAATCGGTAGTAATGGGTCGCATTTAACATGGTTAAGACCCGATCATTGTTGTGCTCATATTTGTAAATAAACATTTTGCCTCGGTGAAGTGGATATAACCGGGTATTTTCAGCTATTCAAATAGACATAAATATTATTCTCGATATTTTTCAGAATGGGAATTTGTTTTTAATGCTTCTTTTCTGTATCAGAAGTCGGAATTATGATTGAAGAAGAAGAAAAAACCGAGCGCATTTCGTCTGGAATGCAGCCTATTGATTTTTAATACCCTGTTAGCTGCTTAACTCAGGCAATTGTGAGGAAAATTCAATAAAAAAGTTCCATCGAAAACAACAACAACAAAAACATATTTTTAAATGAAGAAAAAAATTCGAATAACTCCTTTAGTTTATTCGTTCGTCTGGTAAATATTTTTCGATATTTTCTGTTGTTTTTAATATTAGCTGTTTTTGCGCCGGGATGGATTCGTTGAATCGTGCTGTTTTTGTTTGCTGATGGTTGTATAAACATTGGCTCTATGTTTTGGTTATATATGTGTGTGTGTGTGTGTTTCGAGGCAATACTCTTGCTCACAGCGAACACATGTGAAAGAGAACGAACAAACGAGAATGCAGATATTGTTTATGTGTTTGTGTGTATGAGATGTGATAGAGAAAAGACGGCCATAAGACGACACACGAATGAAAAGAACAAATGAAATGACGACAGCTGGATCGAATTTTGTACAATGAAAATAAAAGTATATAATAAGACTAATAATAATCACAAGTTATGTATGCCCTATGCCGGTATGCTAGGCAAGTAGAGGTGATTGCATGAAACCGGAGCGAAAAACGTTGCAATCCCAAATGCAATCGAACAATGGAACGAAAAAGTCCAACAACAACAACAATAAAATTTCATGTAATGAAATGATAACAACATTGAAACGCCACATCAACAACAAACCCGACACCCGCAATCTGGTCCATATTTCGAGAAAACGAATGTAATTCGAAACAATACAAAATATTCCATATATTTCATACATTTAATAAATGCTTTTGTCTGCTTGTTTTTCTGCTATAAAATTCGTACGGTTGCTTCGGTCCGCATACATCATAGCCCCTGAAACCGATCGATTGGCCAAATAGACGAATGGAAAACGAAGATATAGATTGACTGAACCTTTTGTAGTCGATGCTTCGCACATTTCTTATGGTACTGGTGCTGGTGCGTCCACGCTTCCTTTGTTGTTGTTTGGCTCTCGTTCGCCTACTGAAATATTATTGCTCTGTCTTTTGTTATTCGTTTCATTTTTATTTTTGCAGTCTCAATCGATTTGTATTGTAACCTATTACAACCTGGCTTTATGCAAGCACTCTGGCTCGAAATGAAAAATGAAAAATGAGTGAAAAGAGGAAATTTTAACCAGCATATATCTGTCGAAACAGCAGCGTTTTGGTCAAAATCATAACAAATCGTAACGTTTGATGTTTCACACAAGCGTTGCAACACAAAAAGGCCAATAAAGAGTGGAATACAGAACACACACACACATTCGATAGATGGGCGAAATCATAAACAAACAATCCATCCAAATTGATTGGATGAAATGCAAAAAAAAGGGAGTGAGAAGACGATTTCTTTGAGAAAGAAGAAGGGAAAGAAATTAACTGCATTCGTTCGGCATCCTTTGTTCATTAAAATGAATGCCATAAATATTTTGATGGACAAAGAATCGAATGCAGGTAAATTACAAAATCATCATTACTAGATTTCCTTTGAAACATCAGGATATGCCATTCAAAATTACAGTTGTTCTCTTGTGCCTATTTGGCGAAACAATAAAAATCGATCGTTCCGATTTTATAGTTGGTTTTGATGGTATTCAGTGTGCAAAGAATGGCTCCGAATTTGTTGAACAGTTCCGAAGCATGTATGATATATAAATTACGATTAAATGCATCATTGATCGAAAAATTACACACATTGCACTATAAGTACTATATTAAACATCATGTTGTTCGATGAATTTCCTGTGTTGGTTTTCACATTCCGCTCGGCCGCTTCAAACAAATCTGATGCGGAAAATTTTCGGAATTTTGAATAGCTCAAAGGTAACATTGTTGGATTTGGTAACGACCAAACGAAAAACTAGAGCACACAACGACCAACGAGCGATTTTAATTTGCAAACTAAAATGCTGTTTTGAAAGATAAGAATGGGAACTTGTCCGAAAACTTAACCCACATGTGTGCTGAACAATTTATCGACCTCCCTGAATTCATCGGCGAACGACTTTTGTGCGGAAAGTTTTTGGTGTCACGCAAAAGTGAAAACACACACATACACACAACAGAACTGCCAAAGAGAAAGAAAAGCGAAGATTGAAAATTATGAGAAAAGTCAGTAACAAAAAGCAGTAATTTAGTATGTTAGGAGCAGCGATGTGAATGCATTCGTTCCACATTTCACAATGAGAAAACTGTTGCGGTCAATTAGAATTTCATTCCGTCCCTTCTTGCGTTCCTTTGCCGAGGAGGCTATGAGGTGCAGTAATACAGCGGCAAACACATACGACACATCGTGTTAAGGGGAGGAAACAAAATTTACAAGCTATTAAATTTTCAGTAGTCACTGAAACATTCATCCAACTTCGATTGCCTGGGCTGCCATAGCTCGATGCATGCAAGTGATTTGG